AATGAGAAGAAGAATGAGAAGAAGAATGAAAAGAAGAAGAAGAAGAATGAAAAGAAGAAGAAGAAGAATGAAAAGAAGAATGAAAAGAAGAAGAAGAAGAATGAAAAGAAGAAGAAGAATGAAAAGAAGAATGAAAAGAAGAATGAGAAGAATGAAAAGAAGAATGAAAAGAAGAAGAAGAAGAATGAAAAGAAGAATGAAAAGAAGAAGAATGAAAAGAAGAAGAAGAAGAATGAAAAGAAGAATGAAAAGAAGAAGAAGAAGAATGAAAAGAAGAAGAAGAATGAAAAGAAGAATGAAAAGAAGAAGAATGAAAAGAAGAATGAAAAGAAGAAGAAGAAGAATGAAAAAGAAGAATGAGAAGCAGAATGAAAATAAGAATGAAAAGAGGAATGCGAAGAATGAAAAGAAGAATGAAAAGAAGAAGAAGAATGAAAAAAGAAGAAGAATAAAAAGAAGAAGAAGAAGAATGAAAAGAAGAAGAAGAAGAATGAAAAGAAGAAGAAGAAGAATGAAAAGAAGAATGAAAAGAAGAAGAAGAATGAAAAGAAGAATGAGAAGAAGAATAAAAAGAAGAATGAAAAGAAGAATGAGAAGAATGAAAAGAAGAATGAAAAGAAGAAGAAGAAGAATGAAAAGAAGAATGAGAAGAAGAATGAAAAGAAGAATGAGAAGAATGAAAAGAAGAATGAAAAGAAGAAGAAGAAGAATGAAAAGAAGAACGAAAAGAAGAAGAAGAAGAATGAAAAGAAGAAGAAGAAGAATGAAAAGAAGAAGAAGTAGAATGAAAAGAAGAAGGAGAAGAAGAATGAAAAGAAGAAGAATGAAGAAGAAGAAGAAGAAGAATGAAAAGAAGAAGAAGAAGAATGAAAAGAAGAATGAAAAGAAGAAGAATGAAAAGAAGAAGAAGAATGAAAAGAAGAAGAAGAAGAATGAAAAGAAGAATGAAAAGAAGAAGAAGAAGAATGAAAAGAAGAAGAAGAATGAAAAGAAGAAGAAGAAGAATGAAAAAAGAAGAAGAAGAATGAAAAGAAGAAGAATTCCAGTACAGCAAAAAGTGTATCTGCAGAGAGCTCCGCTATTTCTGACAGTTCTCTGACAGTTCCTTCACATTTACAGTGGTTGAAACATTGTATCTATTTATTTCCGAATAAAAACATCTGTATCCTAAATGGAAACAAATAGATACAATGTTTCAACCGCTGTAAATGAACTGTCAGAACTGTCAGAGAACTGTCAGAAATAGCGGAGCTCTCTGCAGTGACACTTTTTGCCGGCTGATCGGGGAAAATTCGATTCGTGCATCCGAAGTTTGCTAAAGTTCGGATTCGGTGTGAATCAAAATTTTTCCTAATATTCGAAACGAATTCCACTTCGCCAAGTTCGATTCGCTCATCTCTAATTGTGAGTCCAATCATAAATTCTTGTTAGAACTACTGCATTATAATATCTCTTGAGGTCTGGCACTCCCAATCCCCTTCTCTCTTTACCCCTAGTCATCAGGTCATACGATATTCTGGATTTTTTATTTTTCCATATAAATCTTGTTATCATCTTTTTAATTACTTTAAAAAAGGCCTCTGGGAGTCTAATTGGGATCATCTGAAATTTACACAGGACTTTGGGTACAATTATCATTTTTATCAGATTTATACGTCCTAACCAAGAGGGATTTCCTCCTCCCAATTTCTTCAGTTCTTCTTTGATCTCATTTAGAAGAGGAATATAGTTTAATTTATATATAGTTTTGTATATGAAGCAGTAAGTTTAATCCCTAAATATTTTATCTCTTTATTTCTCCATATAAAAGGGAATTCTTTTTGTATCTTAGCTTTCTCACTATTCGGAAGGTTTACATTTAAGATCTCAGTTTTTGTTGGGTTGATTTTTAGATTTGATAATTTCCCGTATTCCTTTAGGCTTTTTATTAAGTTCGGTAATGTCATCCTAGGATTTCCCACATAAAACAACAAGTCGTCTGCAAAGGCTGCCACTTTATGTTCAGTTTCCCCTATCTGTATTCCCTTTATATCTACGTTCTTCCTAATTGTTTCCAGCAAGGGTTCCAATGATAACACATATAACAGTGGGGACAATGGACATCCCTGTCTTGTCCCATTCGACATCTCTATGGGGTCAGATTTTTCACCATTAACCAAGATAACCGCAGAGGGTGCTCTATATAGCTTTCCTATCCACTCCCTCATTCTACCACCTACTCCCATGATCTCTAGGGTATCCATCATGAAGCTCCAGTTTACTCTATCGAAGGCCTTTTCAGCATCAATCGAGAGTACCACTACTGGGGTTTTCCCCTTCTTAGATTTCTGTATCAAAAGCATAGTTCTAATTCCGTTATCTCTACCCTCTCCCCCGATACAAAGCCCACTTGATCTCCGTGGATCCGTTCTGGCATTAGATCTTTCATTCTATTTGCTAGGACCTTTGCATATAGCTTCGTATCTATATTTAGCAGTGCAATTGGTCTATAGCTGGAACATTGAGTAGCGTCCTTCCCTTCCTTATGAATAAGTGTTACATGGGCTTGTAGGGATTCCTGTCTAATCTCCATTTCTCCACCCAAGGCGTTCATATATTCTTTCAATTTAGGTATTAGTAAGTCACTATATTTTTTATAATATCTCACGGTATATCCGTCTGGACCAGGACTTTTCCCTACCTTAGTATTTTTTAATGCTATTTTTATTTCCTCCTGCGTGATTTCTACTTCCAGGGATTTCAATAGGTCTTCATCTACCCTTGGTAGTCCTGCATTTTTTAAGTATAATCTTCTCTTATCTCTACTTTCATTTTCACCTTCATTCACACCATCTTGGGGGTTGATATTATATAACTTACTATAATATTTAGAGATGAGCGAAGTATTCAAAAATTCGATTCGGCTGATTCGGCGAATTCGAGGAATAAATTCGATTCAATGCGAATATATTCGCTGCGATTTTAACTTATAAAAGGGTGTTTCTAGGCTTCAGAGAGCCTTTATATTAGTGAAAAACACTGTACCTTTAATTTAAATGCCCTTGGAGTCTGCTGGGGAAGAGAAATAATACTGTCAGTCAGTATGACATGCAGATGAGTGCCGTCGATCTTAGAATCACCGCACACTTCACTCATTTGGGCAGTCACGGGGCCAAAACCAGAGTGTGGAGCCACAGTGCGGCGGTGGAGGCAGCAGCAATGGGAGGCCATACAGCACCCTATGACAAAAATGGAACCCACCAGCAGTGTGAGGAGACCTGAAAGTGGCACATGGCAGCGTGTGGCGATGGAGACAGCAGCAATGGGAGGCCGTACAGGGACCCATGACACACTCTGGACCTGGCAGCAGCATTAGGAGGCGGTACAGGGGCCCATGGCAGATTACGGGCCTGGCAGCAGCAATGGGAGGCCCGTAATCTGCAAGCACCCTATGACAAAAAATGGAACACACCAGCAGTGTGAGGGAGACCTGAAAGTGGCACATGGCAGAGTGTGGCGATGGAGACAGCAGCAATGGGAGGCCGTACAGGGACCCATGAGAGACTCTGGACCTGGCAGCAGCATGAAGAGGCGGTACAGGGGCCCATGGCAGATTACGGGCCTGGCAGCAGCAATGGGAGGCCCGTAATCTGCCAGCACCCTATGACAAAATGGAACCCACCAGCAGTGTGAGGAGACCTGAAAGTGGCACATGTTTGGGGCATGATTCATGGCGGATTTAGTCAGTTGTGTCGGGAACTGGTGGTTTGAAATCCAGACTAATCCACGCCTGATTCATTTTCACAAACGTGAGTCTCTCCACACTTTGGGTGGACAGTCGTGTCCTCCGCGGAGTTACAATACCTCCTGCCGCACTAAACACGCGCTCCGATGCCACGCTACTGGCCGGGCATGACAGCCTTTCAAGGGCAAATTCAGCTAGTTGGGGCCAAAGGTCAAGTTTCGTTGCCCAGTAGTCAAGGGGATTGTCTACCTCGGTTGGCAGGGTGCTGTCCAAGTAGGCCCAAGCCTGTTGTTTGAGGTCCTGCTCCAGGTCCACCTGATGCTGCTGCTGCTGCTGCGGCTGGTTAGTAGTTTCCTCACTGCGCTGGTGAAGAAAGCTACTCATCATCGACTGCAGACTGAGGCAGCCGCTGCTGGTGGAGCTGCCACTGCTCCTACCACCCCACCCCTCCCCTGCTGCCATGGCAGCGGAACGCGAGAGCACAGGGCCCACAGTGTCTGAGGATGGACGTTGGTGCAGAAAGGCAGAGACCAGCTGACTACATAGGTGGTTTTTATAGTACTTTATTTTGGCCTCCCTCTCAGCAGGTGTGAAAAAGACCACCATTTTTGAACGGTAGCGAGGGTCCAACAAGGTGGACAGCCAAAAGTCATCCCTCTGTCTGATGGTTATTATTCAGCTGTCGCTACACAAACATCCGAGCATGCTATGGGCCATTTGTGCCAAGGAATGCGAGGGACTCCCTGCCTCCTTCTCCACAGCATACTGCCAGGGTGCGTCTGGGTCCTCTGTCACGAATAGCGTGGCCTCCTCAAAGGGCCTGAGCAAGCGGCAGGTGTCACGCATGAGCTGCCAATGGCTGACATCTAAGTTACACAGGGAGTACCTTTATCCCGCTTGTAACTCAGGAAATCTGTGATGGGCCTTTCGCTGTTCGTAAAGGCGGGTCTAACATATGTAGGGTTGAATTCACCTTGTTGCAAAGTCACAGCATGAGGAGTCGGTACGGGGGCACATGGCAGATTACGGGCCTGGCAGCAGCAATGGGAGGCCCGTAATCTGCCAGCACCCTATGACAAAAAATGGAAACACACCAGCAGTGTGAGGAGACCTGAAAGTGGCACATGGCAGAGTGTGGCGATGGAGACAGCAGCAATGGGAGGCCGTACAGGGACCCATGAGAGACTCTGGACCTGGCAGCAGCATGAGGAGGCGGTACAGGGGCCCATGGCAGATTACGGGCCTGGCAGCAGCAATGAGAGGCCGTAATCTGCCAGCACCCTATGACAAAAAATGTAACACACCAGCAGTGTGAGGAGACCTGAAAAGTGGCACATGGCAGAGTGTGGAGATGTAGACAGCAGCAATGGGAGGCCGTACAGGGACCCATGAGAGACTCTGGACCTGGCAGCAGCATGAGGAGGCGGTACAGGGGCCCATGGCAGATTACGGGCCTGGCAGCAGCAATGAGAGGCCCGTAATCTGCCAGCACCCTATGACAAAAAAATGGAATCACACAGCAGTGTGAGGAGACCTGAAAGTGGCACATGGCAGAGTGTGGCGATGGAGACAGCAGCAATGGGAGGCCGTACAGGGGGACCCATGAGAGACTCTGGACCTGGCAGCAGCATGAGGAGGCGGTACGGGGGCCCATGGCAGATTACGGGGCCTGGCAGCAGCAATGGGAGGCCCGTAATCTGCCAGCACCCTATGACAAAAAATAGAAACCCACCAGCAGTGTGAGGAGACCTGAAAGTGGCACATGGCAGAGTGTGGCGATGGAGACAGCAGCAATGGGAGGCCGTACAGGGACCCATGAGAGACTCTGGACCTGGCAGCAGCATGAGGAGGCGGTACAGGGGCCCATGGCAGATTACGGGCCTGGCAGCAGCAATGGGAGGCCCGTAATCTGCCAGCACCCTATGACAAAAAATGGAACCCACCAGCAGTGTGAGGAGACCTGAAAGTGGCACATGTTTGGGGCATGATTCATGGCGGATTTAGTCAGTTGTGTCAGGAACTGGTGGTTTGAAATCCAGACTAATCCATGCCTGATTCATTTTCACAAACGTGAGTCTCTCACACACTTTGGGTGGACAGCGTGTCCTCCACGGAGCCATACAGATACCTACTGCCGCACTGGCAACACGCAATGCTCCGATGCCACGCTAATGGCCGGCCATGACAGCCTTGACAAGGGCAAACACACCAGCTAGTTGAGGGCCAAAGGTCAAGTTTCGTTGCCCAGTAGTCATGTGGGGATTGTCTAGACGGTTGGCCATGGGAGTGCTGTCCAAGTAGGCCCAAGCCTGTTGTTTGAGGTCCTGCTCCAGGTCCATGGCTGATGCTGCTGCTGCTGCTGCGGCTGGTTAGTAGTTTCCTCACTGCGCAGTTGGTGAAGAAAGCTACTCATCATCGACTGCAGACTGATGGGCAGCCGCTGCTGGTGGAGCTGCCACTGCTCTACCACCCCACCCCTCCCCTGCTGCCATGGGCAGCGGAACGCGATGCGCACAGGGCCCACAGGAGTGTCTGAGGATGGACGTTGGCGCAGAATGAAAGGCAGATGCTGACCAGCTGACTACATAGGTGGTTTTTACAGTACTTTATTTAGGCACCTCCCTCTCTGCAGGTGTGAATGGTCGGCTACGTCATTTTCGGGACGGGGATAGCGAAAAAGGGGTCCAACAAGGTGGACAGCCAAAAGTCATCCCTGCTGTCTGATGAGTGTTTTTATTCAAGGCTGTCGCTACGCAAGCCCGAGGCATTGATATGGGCCATTTGTGCCAAGGAATGCGAGGTGGGGACTCCCCTGCCTCCATCTCCACAGGTACTCTGCCACGGTGCGTCTGGGTCCTCTGTCTCTCCTCCTCAACTCCCCTCTACCTGATGCTCCTGCTCCTCCAGCTCCTGTCCGCCTGAGTGGAAAAAAACCACCCATTTCACTCATATAATTCCTGACGGCACCAATGTCCTCCTCTACATCCTCACTCTTCTGGCCTGTACTGCCCCCACAGGGGTCATGTGGCGTTGAGATCAGCGCCACGTCTACCCGCAAATTTACCAGCCATTGTTAACAAATTTGTTCCAGGAGTGTGAGGAAATGACGTCGTTCACATGCAGAGTGTCCTGACCGACTCACAGCAATAGCGGAGGCCTCTACAAAGGGCCTGAGCAAGCGGCAGGTGTCACGCATGAGCTGCAATGGCTGACATTAAGTTACACAGGAGCAGTAATTTATCCGCTTGTAACACTCAGACAAAATCTTGTGATGGCCTTTCGCTGTTGTAAAGGCCGTGGACCTGAAAATATGTGTAGGGTTGAAGGGGGGTACCACCTATGTTGACTGTGCGACCTCGTCACAGCATGAGGGAGTCGGTAGGGGGGGCCGGCCCATGGCAGATTAGGGGCCTGGCAGCAGCAATGGGAGGCCCGTAATCTGCCAGCCACCCTATGACCAAAAAATGGAACCACACCAGCAGTGTGAGGAGACTGAAAGTGGCACATGGCAGAGTGTGGCGATGGAGACAGCAGCAATGGGAGGCCGTACAGGGACCCATGAGACACTCTGGACCTGGCAGCAGCAATGAGGAGGCGGGGTACAGGGGCCCATGGCAGATTAGGGCCTGGCTAGCAGCAATGGGAGGCCCGTAATCTGCCAGCACCCTATGACAAAAAAATGGAACACACCAGCAGTGTGAGGAGACCTGAAAGTGGCACAATGGCAGAGTTGTGGCGATGGAGACAGCAGCAATGGGAGGCCGTACAGGGACATGAGAGACTCTGGACCTAGGCAGCAGCATGAGGAGGTGGTACAGGGGCCATGGCAGATTAGGGGCCTGGCAGCAGCAATGGGAGGCCCGTAATCTGCCAGCACCTATGACAAAAAATGGAACACACCAGCAGTTGTGTGAGGAGACCTGAAAGTGGCACATGGCAGAGTGTGGCGATGGAGACAGCAGCAATGGGAGGCCGTTACAGGGACCCATGAGAGACTCTGGACCTGGCAGCAGCATGAGGGGAGGCGGAATAGGGGCCCATGGCATATTACGGGCCTGGCAGCAGCAATGGAGGCCCGTAATCTGCCAGCACCCTATGACAAAAAATGGTAACACACACCA